ATTAAAGAGAAGCTCTCTCTCTCTCTCTCTCTCTCTCTCTCTCTCTCACACACACACACACACACACACACACACACACACAGAGGATATTCAGGCTGAGTTGCCTCTGACTCCTCTGGAATATATCCCTTTACTCCTGAGAATTTACCTCCTCACTACATTCTATCACAAACAGTCTCTTACAGCAGGGGTCCTCAACCACCAGGCCGTGGACCGGTACCGGTCCGTGGATCACTCTGTACCGGGCCGCAAAGAAAATAAAATAAAAAAATGGCGGCTTTCTTCGCCTTCGGTGAATGCTGCTGAGATCAGGGATCAAGGACACAAATGAAAGAAGGGGAGGGAGGAAGCAACCAAAGCCTGTCCTGCTCTCCGGCTCAGCGGCTTCGGTTTCCGCCCGCCTCGTTCCTCTCTCAGTCGCTCTCTCGCTCCTCCACCAGCCCAGGAAGAAACTGCTTCAAAGGAGCTGGCAGGGTGGCTTTTCCTGTCGGCGCAGCTTCCCCGAAGCGCCCGTTCACCCCCACCCCGCCACCAATCAATCCAGGTTCAATCCAGTGCTCCGTTCTGCCTGCCTGCCTGCCTTCGTTTCTGGTAGTTTCGGAGCAGCTTCGGCTGAGAATAATAACTATTCGCCTCTTTTACTCAGCCGAAGCTGCTCCGAAACTACCAGAAACCAAGGCAGGCAGACAGGCAGGCAGAACAGAGCACTGGATTGAACCGCGGGCGGCGGGGCAGGGCGGGGGTGAATGGGCGCTTCGGAGGAGCTACGCTCCGAAACCACCAGAAACGAAGGCAGGCAGGCAGAACGGAGCACTGGATTGAACTGTGGGCGGCGGGGTGGGGGTGAACGGGCGCTTCGGAAGAGCTGCGCCGACAGGAAAAGCCATCCTGCAGGCTTCTTTGAAGCAGTTTCTTCCTGGGCTGGTGGAGGAGCAAGAGAGCGACTGAGAGAGGAACGAGGCAGACACCTGAGGGATGAGGCTGATGAAGGCAAGGCCGAGAGGCGAGGCTTCTCAGCCGTCCTGCAGGGACTATCTGTCGCTCAGGGTTGCAATGAGGAGGCATTGGCGTTCCCTGAACTTGGTGGTTTGCAGATGTTACCTAGTCAGATAATGAAACGTCTGCAAGCAAACTGTTGTGAACTAAAGAAATGTATTTAATAAAGATTCATTTGCATAGCAGGATTGTAATCCTGCACTTCCTATTGGCCCATATAATGGCAAGTTATGATTGGTTCATTCCGAGCAATCTGATTGGCTGTTCACTATATTTTAAGATGGCGAAAGCGCTTGCAAAACCGGCTGAGGTGAAATCAATGGATTGGGACAACCTCGAACCTATCCTACGGGCTCACTATGCCCCCGCCGTACCAACGTTGGTCCGGAGATACGAATTTTATCAACGGGATCAGCGGAAGGGTGAAAGTATTGCAGACTTCATCGCTGACCTTAGAAACCTGGGAGGCCTCTGTGGTTTTTCAGACCTAGAAGAAG